GGGGCTCAGCCGCTCCTCGCCCTCAGCAGAGCGGCCAGGACAGAAGGGTGTGAAAATCGCCAGTCATTTGTTTTTAAAATTTAAAAGTTTAATAGTAATAAAATGGTTATAAAAATAGCAATATAATTAGAGTAATAAAAATTTTGGACAATTTTAATTAGGACAATATGAGACAATAAAAACAAAGAGTTATGGACGTCTGGGTAGCTTCTTCTGGGCAGCATAAGCCCGAAAAAGGACCCACGTTAACAGAGGATTAACCCTTAAAAACAATAGCCTGTTGCATATTCATAAACCTCATACATGATGCGTAAAGTCCATTCAAACGCAGGATTCTCTCTGGGCAGGGTCAGCTTCTTCCTCTGATTCCTGACAGCTCTTCATGGCTGAGCAAGGCAGGAAGAAGTTCATTTCTTCTAATAATGGAACAATAAATTTGTTTTCTCTGAAAGACTGAGAGGTGTCCCGTGGCTGCTATCTCAGTGCGAGTCCTTCCTTTAAAAAAGTATCTTACACAGCATAGTTTCTATTTTAACATTATGTTATAACCTAAAACCATATTTAACACACCACTTAAGAAAATTAACACAGCATAACTTTCTAACATAACACATATAATATTCATTTTAATATTTGCAAAAAGGCAATCATAAAACACATTTTTCACAATGAGAAGGGACAGGAGGCACAAACTCGGCGGTGCCATGGGGAGAGTTGAGCAGGTGAGTCAGAAGCTGTGCAGACAAGCAGGGCAGAGCAAGGAAAGCCTTCCCGTGGGCTCAGCCATCTCCGGGAGAGCAGGGCCCAACTCAGGTGATAATTAATGGTCACCATTGGTGGGAACACCGGTGCCACCACCCCGATCCTGCTCTGCCCCGTAAGAGCCTGAATGAGAGATGTGGGACTCCAGGGGCTCTCCAAAATGCAGTTTATTCCACCCAAGAGGTTACAGTAGTCCAGGGTTGTGAGTGACAGAGGCTGTGCCCACAGCTGTCAGCTCCAGCTGCAGGCAGGCCTGGAGACCCTTTGGTTTTGATTACAATGCATTATATACTTTTCTTTAGGTTACGATGCATTATAGACTTCTCTTTTGGTTACATTGCATTGTAGACTTTTCTTTAGGTTACATTGCATTATATACTTTAGGTTACAATGCATTACACACTTTTCTTTAGGTTACAATGCATTAATACACTTTTCTTTGCTCTGCATCTTCATACAGTAGGACCAATCTATACCTTAACTATTATCTATAACCTATCATAACTACTGTAATTACCATATTCATGTTACTATTCTCCAATCACTAAAAGTACATTACAGTTTAAGCTAGAAGTTGTTTTTCAGTTTTCTTGCAGCAGAAAATTCTGAGACCTTTTTTCTACTTCCAGCTTTGCTGACTTGTTTGCCTGTGCTATTTTTCTGCTTGGTAAAAACATCTTGTTTGGGGTGGGTTCATCCTTTGCTCTAAGCCATAAAAACCCCTTCTAACTAACACCCCCTTTGCCTCCTTGGTTATCCAGTAAGACTGGCTCAGCAATTCTTTTCTTCTATATCAAAACTTGCTTCCATCTCTATTCCTTCATCAGACTCTACATTTAAAAATCTTTCTGCTAAGCATCCATATTTGTGAGACTTTCTTGTCAAACTTTCATCCTTCTCAACATGTCCCTTTCTGTCTGGAGCACGGTGTCCTTTGCTCTGGGGAATCCCTTCAGCCCCCTGGGTCGCTGCCCCAGCTGTGTCTCCTCCCTGCTGTGCCCAGCAGGAACCCAAAGCAGCCCCAGCTCAGCCCCTGGGGAGGGAATGAACTGCAGCCCAGCCAGAGCCGGCAGAGCACACCATGGTAATGCCCGTGTTTTTTACACGTTTCCTGTAGGCACACCGGGGAGTGTTGCAAAACACACATCTGTGTGTCCGCTCAAAGTTAGCCATGAGCACTTTCAAATTTAAGGTGGGGGAATTACTGCCCTGTCCCTGTAGTACTCCTGTCTTTGAAGCAAAGAATACAAAATTAGATTTTACCAATGTACCTCACTTCTCAATGAAAAGTCTGTGCACTAAGTCCACACATAAAGAAAACACATGGAATTCACAATTAAAATACAATAGAGAAGGGAAAAAAGGGATGTTTTTCTTTCCAAATCTCAGAAAAACACTAGATGAGATATTCCTCGTTGTGTAAAAAGGTTTGGAGAAATTTCTCCTTAACCCACACCAGTGAATCACCCTTATGCCAGGCTCCATCTGTAGAATTCTTACTCATGTAAATAATATAGGGCTCCATGTTTTCCCAGTGAGTTTTAAACCTTTGCATTTCACTTGAAAAAGAAGAGAAAAAGCAAATCTCAGAAGCCTGATTTTGCCATTTCTAGCAGTGTGGAAAGGGCAGACGTAGAAGGAGAATATTTTTTAAGTGAAAGAATATGTAAGGATGTGAGATGACATGAATTTCAGACTTTATCAGTAAAATTAAATGTGTAGTATTTAACATGTGTGAAGTCATGCTTCCTCATAAGAATATTGGATATCTCAGAGATTTGTCAATTTCACAATAATAAAACTGCCACAAGTGAGACCATAATTAAAACATTATATTAAAAAAGACCTGTTTCTAAATTAATAAGTGTCGGACTAAAGGATCAGCTTCTCAAAATGTTCTCGTAGCTGAAGCAAAACATCTTGCCTGCTCATTTGTGCAGACAGATACAAGCTACATAAGGCAGTGACCAATGCCATAGAACCAAGCAGGGAAGAAACAGTTACTGAAATTGAGAAAAAGCATTTGTGTCATGCCCATTTCAAAAGTCTGAGCAGCCATTGTGTGCACCCAGAGAGTGGCACGTGGAGTGAAGAAGTGAGGAAAAGGCAGGAGCACAAAGCTGGGAAGTGGTGGTGGGGCTGTGGCTGGGAGTTTTTGGAGATTTTTTGGTCAGTTCAAGGGAGCATAACCCTGGAGCACATCAGTGCCATCTGGCACCGCAGCTGTGCCACCATCCCTGTTCACAGCACCCACTGGTCACTGCCAGCAGCAGAGCCCTTGGCAGAACAGGGATTAAAACAGGAGAACTGACAAGGAAATGTTCCCCTTGCAAGCTGGGCAGATTGCAGTGGCAACATGGGAACACAGTTATTAATGAGAATTGAACCAACCTTTCTATCATCTGAAAGTTGGTGGTGATTTCTCCAGACTTTATAGTCTCCAGTGAGAGACTACTACTACTACCACTGCTACTACCACTCCTCCTCCTACTATTATTATTATTGTTATTATTTTAATAAATTATTTATAATTAATAATCATTATTATAATATTATTTAAAATTAATTATTTATAATTATTTATAAATAATTATAAATTATTTGTAATTAATTATTATATTATGTTTCTACACAAAACGGAGTTATATATAATTATAGCTTTATATATATATTAGATATACATAATATTAGCTATATATAATATATAGCTATATATAGTTATATATAGGTATAATATAGTTATCTATATATGATATAGTTATATATATAGTTTTATATATAATATAGTTATATAGTATATGTAACTATATATATAATACTTAATATATAATATATATATATTTTATTTATTATATTAGTTATATATTATAATTATATATAGTTATGTATAATATAGTTATCTCTATATA